CACCATTTTTTTTTTCTTTGCATATAATTAAGACTGACCACAGCAGCAATCTTGAGAATATCACTCTTATCTCGAAGGCCTCATCAGAGCTGAAATTGGTGGAACTACTGTGCCAGCGAAGTGAAAACCTATCAATGACCAAAACCTCTTATCAGTCATGAGAGCTGATGCATCTTGTCAGACACTTTTGTTCAAGATAAAGGCAGAAAATTCAGAAAACCAAAGTTCAGTGTCTGCGCACGGTGTGTGAAAACTTCTCCAAATCACACTTGCTGTGCACATTTCCCAAGGACTCCCAACAGGCAGCATGAAGCTGAGGAGCTCTGAACTCCCTTCATTTCTAGAAAGCAAGTGCTGGGCACAAAGCAGCAAGCATTAAGTGCCTCTGTGAAGGCAGGCTCCGAAAGGCTAGTTCTCTCAACAAGTCACCTGCGGCCTAGCTTCCAAAGCTACATGGCACCTATAACTCCTCTCCATTCATTCCCTACCATGAGAAAGTTGAGCTCTTCCCCTCCCTGTGTTTCATCTTACTTATTTGTGATTCATGCTTTATCTGCCTCCTGTGGATGTTATGAGGTTTAATTAGTTTTGGTCTGTAAAACACACTGAGATCCCCGGAAAGGCGCTGTGTGCACTCACAGTATGACTACAACAAGACAATTTTCTTGGTGGCCCTGGAGTAACTAGTGCTAGTGGTCGCAGGAGACCCGAAAGAGGAGGCAGCGTAAGTTCTGACTGTCGGCAATCTTTCGGTATACCCYGAATATGGAAAGTTTCAGGGACAGCATTTTGGTACAGCACATGTCGAATTTGATGTGGGAGTTAACAGCGGTTTTCTGYCTAGCACAGCACTGGCAAAACATTCTCATCAGCATCTTTCAGCAAAAAAGAAGGAAGGTCATGAAAAAAAGAAAACCTCTTAAAAATGAAAATAAAAGAGAAAAAAAATGGAAACCAACAGCACTAACAAAAGCACCATACGGGTTTTTAAAATAACCCAAACAGCTTAAAGTTGCCCAGACTTCCTTATTCATTAATTGCACAGGACACAGATTTATTTATTTATGGCTCAGAAAAGAATTCCCAGCTCCAAGGCTTTCCAAAGAACAAGCACCCCCCAGTTCTGCATGGTCACCTTGGCCAACTCACCATGCAGTTTCTCATTCTCATGCTAATGCAGTTCAAACAACCCAGCTCCGCATTTTTTATGCATGCAATAAGCCTATCTTTAGGTCACTTAGTTGTGTCAGTTTAAATCACAACATCCCCTTAGAGAAAAACCTGATCATTTTATTTACTTTTGGTCACAGAAAAGGGAGCAGAAAAATAGTTCATTACAAAAACCGCTTTCTTGTTTATGGTGCCTAATAGAAGATCCACTGAAATCTACTCGAATCTAAACAGCAGTTGAGACCTCGATAAACAACACATTTTAATTACAATTTGCATGGCTACACTCAAGACATAATACTCTGARAATATCTGACTGTGCATAAGCATATCATATTAAATAATTTTATATATTATTAAATCTTAACCAAAGTCTGCTGGAATAAGGCCCAAAATCTCAATGATCTCTGTGAACTKTAGATCTGCCTCTCTGCCTCTTTCATAAAATAAGCCTGGATTCTGCAACTCTGGCTTTCCCAAGCATCCACATGGATATTCACAGGGCTTCTCAAAAGAGGGAAAAAAAAAAGCATGAAGCTGAAGCCATCCATGAAAGGTACTGGATTTATTTCAGATGTGGAACTGTTTTTAATTAATTTGGAAACATTTKAAATATTTGTTCATTAAACATGCTTTGCATTTCACACATGGGCGTATGAAGTAGTAAGAAAATCCAAAATGATAATGCTTTATTAAAGAGACTTTGAAGCCCCTTCTAGGGGCTTCACATGGGGACAGCAGCGGTGCTGTAACCCACCAGTATTGGAAGTGAACGGTGCCTGCAGCGCCCACCCCCTGGACACCTCAACTCAACCTGGAGAAACGGCTGATTGGGGCTTCTTCACTTGCTGGTCAGACCTGTAGGATGTTGCCAAGTTCGGTCAATAGTCTCTGTCAGGAACAACACTTTTACAGAAGAATACCTGCCTCCTAGGAGACAGCAGAACAGTTTGGTGAGGCAAATCAGAGTGCCATTTCTTCGTGACCTACCAACAATTTTGGCACACGAGCACTCTAGAAGATTCGAGCAGACAACAAGGGTGCAAAGGGAACTTTCTTCAACACTTAGGGCTTATTCTTTGAGGTCTCTAGCCAAGGCCCACAAACCATCCCATCCAACCCAACTTCTCATTAAAGCAATCTACAATAACACTGTCATTTACAGATAACATACACAAAAACTTTTACAGCCCCTCAGTTTTCTCCAATTTATAGCAAAAAGCTCCACCATAAAGGTACAAGCGTGAACTTGGTGGATGCCGGCACCGAGGCAGCAGAACAGGAAGGACGAGAGGTCCATGTCTCCCAGCTCTCCAAGCCCAAGGCTGGATCCCTCCTCAGCCAAGCCGGGTCCGAGGCAGGCAGCAGGGAGCCCCGCACGGCGAGCTCTCCGCACACACCACCACGGCGTGCGCAGAGGGCAGGGATACAACACGATGCTGATACCCGTGCCCTGGACACGGGGCAGGGAGCTCCCGGGGGCAGCAGAGCTGCCACAGCCTCCAGGGCGCCGGCCTAGGCCCGGCCTGAGCACCRCACTCCACGACGGGGACGGACACTGTCCAACTTGGTGCTCGGCGGGGCCCACATCGCCACAGCGCAGCTCTCGCCTCCCCTCTAGCGGCTGAGCCCCCCAAACTGCTCCAGCCGCCGCCGCCGCCTGCGGTGCGAGGGGCTCGGGTCTGTCCCCGGCCCGGCAGCTCGAGCGAGCGGCGCTCCCACGTTTGCAGAGAGGAGGACGGGGCTTTGTGGCACCGAGCAAAGGGACAAGGACCAGGCGCGCACGCCTCGGCAGGGGCAGAGCTGCCCGGCACCACTGCACAGCTTCCATTTCTGACAGCAGGTGAAAGAATCAGCTACTCTGCGACTTAGAAACGCTCCAACACTTGCTGTCCGAGGACCAGGTTCTACATCTGACAATTATGTGTCACCAGGGCTCAAAATTAATTCTAGTGACTATAATATAAGGCATTATCACTACAGTCCTTCATCAATTTAGCCAAGCACACCCAAACAGCACGTGATGGCCTCCCATCCTTCCCAGCAGAATACAAACATAAGAAAACTTCACATTTCTTCACAAGTCATCCTCAAAACAAAACAACAAAAAAACAAGCAGGAAAATTCAAGTTTCCTTCCTCTGGTTGCCAGTGCTAAAATATGCTAACAGCATTGAGGCAAGGGACGACTTGCAGAGCTCGCAATCTGTATTCAGCATAATTAGCAGATGCCAATTTAACTTATTACTGCTTCTTCCCTTCTATATTATAAAAAGGATGTCAATGAAAACCTGTTATCTAAATGACTGTTTTCTCAGTGCTGATATAAAGCAACAATCATGGGAAAATAGAGTCACAGAGCATGTGTTAGGAAATATCTGATTTTGAAATGACATTATAAACAGCTACAGTAAGGGAAGAAATTAATGCCTTCAGATAGGACTTTCCTCTCTTCCTTCACACTTGGATTTTCAGACTGTTTCTAAATCTAACTCATGTGTTATTTGGTAGCATTTCCAGTTACTCAAATAAGCATAACTATCTTTGGAGTAAAGCAAGATTAGTAAAGGAGGCTGCTCAGCTGTCTCAGCCACAGATCATTTTAAAGCTTAACAAATTAACATACTTTAAAAGATGCATTCTCAATGCAGGGAACTAGCAGAGAGTAAGGCAGGCAACATACACATACCAACCAACACAAGCCTTAACCTGCCCTCTTCTGAGATGCCAAAGGAAGGGACTGTCACAGTGGAAGGGACAGTTTACAAAGTGCACTTCTGCAGGCTGCAATGCTAAAACACATTTCATAAAACAAAGCCCTCTAGAATTAAGAGCTTGTTGCAAGATGCATGCAGCAAGGCTAAAAAAAAAGCAGAGCACACCAAGGTTATGGATTTAACAGGTTTCTAACACATAAACATATAACGATCGAGTCCAGGCAGCATTTGCTGCTACTTCTGGTTGGAGAATATCCCCTCCCACTAGCACTGCTGCATATTACAATGCAGCACACACAAAAAAAATATTTTAATAAACTGCCTTGTGGCCATAAGGGCGAAGTTTAAGAGCCTTGTAAGGCTATGCTTCTCCACAGCTTTAATCAATCTGAGCTCTAACTTCATTTGTTATGCCTAGTGCAAAGTGTAAACTTTGCCCGTTGAAAGAATTAAGAGGAAAAAAAAAATAACATCTCCTCCTCCACGCTGAGCAGCGTATGTAAAGCACCGAACAGAACCGCTGCACTCACAGCCCCCAATTAAACGGGTCTCTGTGGAAACTAATAACTTTCCACCGTACGCCCTGTAATCCAAGGAATAATTCTAAACAGGCATAAGCCGCAGCGTGCTGAACTAAGACATTCTTACCTCGCAAAGAGCGCTCCAAGACGCTTGCTTACAGCGGCAGAGGAGAGCGTGCATGCTGCCAAGGATTTCCTAGGCAGGAGGGGATCTGCCTTGCCCCACACATGCGCGCGCGCACAGCCCCTGCGCGTTGCTTAGGCAGGGAGCGGGGACAGGAAAAGATAAGCAGCGGCGATAGTGCCCCGGCTTTATATCTCAATCAGCGTTGAGTCAAGGAGGAGGAACCATTTGAGATGAGAAAAAAAAAAAAAAAAAAAAAAAAAAAAAAAAAAAAAAAAAAAATTCCAAGGAACAAGACATTTTTTTCCCCTCCGCTGGATACAGAGAGGTTTGCCTGGATATTTCTAATACTTTAAGACAAAATCTTCATGACCCACCTCCCTCCCAAGCCAATTAGTTGCACATGTCAAACGACGCGGCACAAACAGCACACAAAGACTCTGAAAGGGAAAATTACAGAAGCTCTTACCTTTTAGTCAGAGTAAGCGACAGATAACAAGCATAGGAAACTCAGTTSGCACAGTTGCTCTACGTATTTCTCTGTGGACTTCCCTTTAGTGGTCCCAAAAGCAGTGAACATAAAAAAACTCCAGCCTGCCTGCTTCATTCTTCAGCAGCAGAGATACATGCTGTCACGGTAACGAGAAAAAGCAAAAACAGCTCCAGATCTGAGGGTTTTAAAGCCTTTGTGTTTATAGGGAAGCAAAAGAGAAAGAGCAAGAAAAAGAAGGAACAGAGCAAACACTTTTACTAAGAGAAATCTGGTCCTGGCTATATAAGTAAGCACAGGATCACTGAGTTTGAATTTCCCTGTTTGCGAGCTCCCTGGGAGAAAATATACATATATATTGAGCCTTTAGGAAGAAGGAGGGGAAAAAAAAAAAAAAGGGCAAATGCATGGATTGGGGGAAGGGGAGAAGAGGAGGAGGGTACTGCTCCTATGTGACATACATATGGAATGAGCATTAGAACAATGCTGACAGGACAGCTAAGCAACTGCACTCTGGGGCAGCAGTTTTCAAAGCGGAGCTTTTGCAGCTTTGCAGAATGGAGAACAGAACAATAAAATTAAAAAAAAAAAAACACCACAAAGGAGATAGAAAAAAAAAAAGAGGGAAAAAAAAAAAAAGAAATGAAAGGAGTTAATTCAATAAGAGCAACTGGGCTAAAAGAAAAGAAGAAGGAAAAAAAAAAAAGTGTTGCCCAGTTTCTGGGGGGGGGGGGGGGTCTCGCCGCGACTGCTCTGTGGCCATGCAGGCTGCCTTCATGTCTAGTGCACTTACGTTTTATGTGGCTCCCAGTGGGTTCCCTCCCCGCCTCCCRCTCCCACCGCCTCCCCTTCCTGGGAAGCTAGCAGTCCCAGGGGCAGGAATTCCAGTGGACCCAATTAACACTGCACTTTGCTGGCTCCTCGCTATGATCGATATTAAATAAGCAGAGTTTTAACAGCATTGAAAAATAAAGCAGCCATGTAATCTGTGGCTGATGGAGGCTGCATTTTCTTCTTTTCTCTTTCCCACTGCTTCCCTACTCCCTCAATCTCAAAACGATCCAGCACAGAAACAAAAAAAGCAAGCCATGTGCCAGCGCCAGTGACACAAGCTGCGTCCAATACTGGTTAGAAACTTGAGAGAAGCAGAACATAAGTTGCTCATTTCATAGYGTCCATGGCACTTTCTATTAAACTGCATTTCCAAATCAATGAGAGAAACCCAAAGGTTCACAAATGGGCTCTTTCATCAGGTCCATCTCACTGCCTGACGGCACAGGAAGTTTGCTGAGGGGTCTGGGGGCTGTTTCACGAGCTCACTTGTTTTAAAAAGACTCCCAACAACATGACTTCTCCRTTGCGGTCAAAGACATGTAGTAAGAGGGTCACTGCTTTAAGGGAATGCACCCTCGTATTGCTTCATTCCAGCAGCACGTGCTACCACGCACCCTACAAATTGCACATTATTTTAATTTGATGGGGGAAGTGGTTGGGAGGCAGTTAACCTTCTTTGGTCCTGTTTTGCCTGATTTATCAATCACAGATTGCCATGTAAAAACAATCTGCTACAGGCTCTTTCTGTAGAGGAAAAGCAATTACTGGCATTAACTCTTGCCATTGCAAATTAATACAATACAGTTCACAGCTGATAGTCTGCCTGCRAGACATTAATCTAAGAATAAATGAGTAGTTTGCTTAAATTCAACTTGTTTGACATTCTCAAGTTAAAAAAAAAATCTTCACATTTTCACTCATATTTGTGAAACTCGCAGGAAAGAAAAAAGCAAAGCAAATAAAAAAAAAAGATAATTGTTAGGGCCASGACCTGTTTATGAAAATGGGATTTCATCATCTTAACTACTTTTCTCTTTTGTTTCTAGCATGGCTATAGTCTACAAACCAAACCCAATAAATAACACTGCACAAGATCCTTGACTGAACAGCTGGGTTGACCAATGACTTGTATCCATCTTGTTAAATTAATGTGTGATTGCATTTCCATAAGAATAAGATCAATTAAAAATACTCATAAAACCATGCTGCTAAAGGCGCTGAAAAATTAAATTAATTAACACAAAAAGCTACAATTAAATAACATTAAAGTTATGATCCTAGCTGAAATAGGAAAAAAAAAAAAACATAGCAGGACAAAATATTTCTAGCTAGTGCCTACTGGTAGCAGCTCCATGTGTCCCACAGCTCATCTCAAATTCTGTGCAATGTTTAGTCAGTGTCTTCCCAGCTAGATAGATGTGGAGTAGGCAGATTTCCTGGAGAGCTGTTAGTCATCCCATCAGATACCAAAAACAAAGGTTTATTTACATGGGAAGAGCCCCAAAAGCGCTGGTGCTTGTGCACATGAAGCTGGTTGAGCTACAATAATTCTAGATTCCTACACACACCACATTTTGCATATATCAACTTGACAACCTTAATCTAACCAGTATTTTTCTTCTTCTTCTTCTTCTTCTCGGTGCAAAAAGGGCCAGGGAAGAAGTTTCCCCAAGTTACACAGTGCTAAGCAGGGTAATGGAGGGTCAGAATTTCAATCAGAGAAACAGCTTTCACAAGAAGTCAGAGAAAACGACACAGATCTTCATGCTTCTTGGTCAGTAATGACCTGGCACTGTGGCACAGCAGATGTACTCTGGATTTTAAGTAAGATCCAGAGATACTGGGAATGCTAACCTGACTGTTCAGGTTTGCAAAACCACATCACCCCTCCCTCAGTCTCCTACTCTAAGTTAGTGGCCATGTTAATGTACTAAAGCACTACTACTCCATTCCTCCCAGCGTGGCCTCGCTTTGCACAGGGATCAAGTGCTTGGGGAYCCCTCTGAATGAACACACATATAAACCAGCTGACTCTCCCTTCCCAATAACATGAGCTACACGAAGCCAATCTCTAGCAGAATATCAGCAGCTCCAGGGAAGTCTTGCAAATAAGAAAAACACTCTCCAGTGGCACTCAGCAACAGTTCTCCTCTCCCTCCAAATATGTTCATGAACTGTTAATTACTTCAAGCCCCAGCTGACAAAAGGCAGAGGAAACTGACCCCGGCAATCAAATTATTTTCACAGAAAAACACTGTAATATGGATATAATTCACAGAACATGCTTCAGCTGAGAAGGTCCAGGAGGTAGTTCTATATTGGGAAACGTGGATATTTACAATTGCAGTGGGGACCATAAGTGTGCTTGGAAGCTATAAATGATCCATCAGTCGATCTGTCATCTTAACACTCCTATGCACTAGTAAAGTCTTTATTATCCCCATTCTAGAGATGACGATTTGAACACTGAAAGTCTAAACCACCTCCCCAAGGAGATGCAAGAAGTACTGGAGAATAACAGGGAACTGATTCCAGGCCTTTCAAAACGTCTTCATTGTAGAGACTATACTTGTATCAAAGACATGCAACTAAATTTGACACATTTTGAAAGTCAAACTGTTCGCCCCTTAAAAAAATGTCACTAACATTCCAGTCTACTCTTAGGTATGACTCAAAGAACAGTCTATGTTATTTAAGAACGTCTTCTGCTATTTAAAAAATACGTGTGCATGAACACTCACAAGTATTCTTCCAAATAAAAATATGAAATGCAATTTAAGAGAAAAATCAATCCAACATAACTTCAAGATTGGAACTAGAACCCAGGACATCTCATGCCAGCATGGACTTGCGTAGAAGGACACCTCGCACATGCAAAGACAAACAATAAGAAGCATTTTTCAAAATAACCAAGTGTGCTTGCTCTAGGTCTGGTTGACCACTAGGCTAAAGGAAAATCTGGAAAGGTTAATGACAGCCCTGGTCCATAACTCCACACAGAGCTCCTCCTGTTCCTGGCGCTGGAACAAGTAGGAACATACCTAGGTAAAAATTTGCTATACCCACAAGAAAGCCAACTCTACAAAAGCCTTTAGCATTTACTAATGGAAGGCAAACCTAATGTCTGCTAATGGAGCTGTACCTACAATACAGAGGAAAAGCTGCTTTTTCTTCTTTCCTCCTTGAAAAGGTATATGGAGACACACCAGCATTTACCACAGTCTTCGGAGATCGATAATCTATGCAAGATTCTCAAGAACCTAAACTGCAAACATGGGAGATTAGCTACGCAAAGATACATGGTGTAAAACAATTTTGTAACAACTAATCCACTTTATTACAAGCATCGTCAACTCTGCTCATTATCCAACCCTTCCAATTCAGCTATTCCTATTTGCAAAGACTACAGTCTTTAGCACTGTTTGGAATTTTGGAGTTACTTAAATTTTCTTCCAAATATATTCATTTTGACTATTAAAAGGCAAGCAAATCAGTAAGCTTTTTTCTTTTTTTTTTTTTTAATTCTCTTTTCCATAGCACAATAAGTAGCAGAAATTACAAAACAAAAGGAAAACATTTCATAAATAAATAAATCTTGACTCCAAAACACTGGTACTACAAAATGGAAACAACTGCAAATATATGGCGATGTGGTCTTTGTGCAAGAATGTGAAAAATGCCTGTGGATATTTCAAATATTTTTCCAAATGAGGGGGCTTATATCAGGTTGCAGGGTTTTGGATTGAACACACTTTCAAGAGATGACGATTCATGTTGCTCGACCTCGGGAGGCCTAACAYTCGGCTTTGTTCTTTTTAATTTCTAATTACACTTCAGTACAAGAATAAACAGATTGAACACATAAAGCCAGAAACAAACAAACAAACAAAGTAAAATAAAGGGAAAACAATCTCTACGGTACTTAACTTCAGAGAAGGTTACTCAGATAATTACAATTTACAGCTGCACAATAAACTGTGGTGAGGTTCAGCTGGCTAATGCTCGGGACTCTTATATAGCGAGTATCAAAGATAAAAACCAATTTCCTATTTGAAAAATGGGTATCGGTAACTTGTGGCTGGCAGGACTGGGTTATTACGCTCATTAATTACGCTGTCATTAATTAAAGGCCSAACATGTGGGAAACAAGGTGTCGGGCCCGCGCGTGGCCCAGCGTGGGAGCTCGCCATTAGGTGTCCTTCTCCTCTCGCTGAACACGGAGCAGCAGCCCCAGCCTCTGCCAAATGGCCACATTCATAGCAAGTCCTGAGGAAAATGAACGGGGATTTGGGAAATCTCGGTTCAAGCCCTCGTTCTGCCAACCAGCTGGGCAGCTGCCCGAAGGCAAGATCTCCAGGTAACCTGCGCAGCACGAGTCCARGTAGGAGGCACTCGCATGGTGCCTGAGAGGTCCCCCATTCACCAGCACCAGGATTTGGTGCCTCCAAGCTCCTCCTAGAACAGCTGGAACACCTGCTGAGGAGGCAAGAGGGCACTTCAACATCC